CCTATGTGTCCATCTAGGACATCCTTATGTGTCCATCTAGGACATCCCTGTGTCCATCTAGGACATCCCTATGTGTCCATCTAGGACATCCCTGTGTCCATCTAGGACATCCCTATGTGTCCATCTAGGACATCCCTATGTGTCCATCTAGGACATCCCTGTGTCCATCTAGGACATCCCTATGTGTCCATCTAGGACATCCCTGTGTCCATCTAGGACATCCCTATGTGTCCATCTAGGACATCCCTATGTGTCCATTTAGGACATCCTTATGTGTCCATCTATGACATCGCTATGTGTCCATCTAGGACATCCCCACGTGTCCACAAAGACCTCCACCTCTCCATGTGTCCCCTAGTGGTGTCCCCTATGGGACTGTCCCCCCCCCATCACCTCTCCATGGCCGTGGTGACCTCCATGATGATCTTCACGTGTCCATCATGGTTTCTCTCCATACTTCCATGATGTTCTCCACCTCTCCATGATGTCTCCCTTGTGTCACCCAACAGCCCCGTGGTGCCCTGAGGACAACGGCGGTCCCCATCGGAAGCTGCTGCCAAGGGACCTGGTCACAGGTGAGGTGGGGACATGGGGGGGGACGACATACCATGGGGCTGGATGGAGATGGATGATGGATGGATGGATGGATGGAGCCATTGGAGATGGATGGATGGAGCCAATGGAGATGGATGGATGGAGCCAATGGAGATGGATGGATGGAGCCAATGGAGATGGATGGATGGAGCCAATGGAGATGGATGGATGGAGCCATTGGAGATGGATGGATGGAGCCAATGGAGATGGATGGAGCCATTGGAGATGGATGGATGGAGCCAATGGAGATGGATGGATGGAGCCATTGGAGATGGATGGATGGATGAAGCCATTGGAGATGGATGGATGGAGCCAATGGAGATGGATGGATGGAGCCATTGGAGATGGATGGATGGAGCCAATGGAGATGGATGGATGGAGCCAATGGAGATGGATGGATGGAGCCATTGGAGATGGATGGATGGATGAAGCCATTGGAGATGGATGGATGGGCCATGGAGGTGCTCATGGCCCCATATCCTCCTGCAGGTCTCCTCCCTGGAGCTCTCCCCCTGCAAGGCCTCACCCAGACCCTGGCGGTCCCCGGGGCCATGGTGGGGCAGGTCCTGGGCCTCCGGCCCCTCCAAGTGCTCCCTTTGGTCCCATAGGATCCGCGGGTCCACAAGGAGCACCCATGGGACCCCCAGTGTGGGGGCTGGCACCTCCTGTGCCCATCCCACCACCACTGGGAAGGAATAAAAGCTTCTTGGTGGTACCTCAAGGGCGTCTGTGGTGTGGTACATGGCTTGCCCCAAGGGGACACCACCATGGGGACACCAAACATCACCACGGGGCCACCATGAGGCCACCAAACATCACCATGGGGCCACCAACCACCACCATGGGACCCCCTCCACCCCTTCCAAAAGTACTCCATGGAGCAGTTGAACCCTTTATTGGCCACCAGGCAGGTGACAACGTTGCCCCCTCCAACCCCGTGGTGGCCCACATCAGCTGCCATCACCATGGTGACACCGGTGTCACCTCCTTGGGGCTGGAGATGCTCAGATCTTGCCTGGGAAGATCCCTTCTTCACGATACTCATCCCAAGTTGTCACCTGTAGGGCGGACATCATGGGGACATCATGGGGGCATCATGGGAGACATCATGGGGACATCAATGGGGACATCATGGGGGGCATCATGGGGGACATCATGGGGACATCATGGGGGGCATCATGGGAGACATCATGGGGGACATCATAGAGAACAGCATAGGGGACATCATGGGGACATCATGGGGAACATCATGGGGATATCAGGGGGACATCATGGGGACATCAGAGGGTGGATGGTGGCAACAGGAAGGGCTTGGGGATGATGGGGGGGACCCACAGATGGTGGGGCCACCACAGGGGACCTAAGGAGCATGGGGAAGGCAACAGGAACCCAAGGGCCATGGGGACATCATGGGGACACTGTGGGGACCTTGAGGGCCATGGGGACACCATGAGGAACCCATAGATCATGGGGACACCCTGAGGGACATGGGGACACCAAGGTGAACCCAAGGAATATGGGGACACCACGGGGACAGCACAGGGGACCTAAAGAGCATGGGGACACCAAGAGGAACCCATTGATCACGGGGACACCCTGGAGACCCTGATGGCCATGGGGACACCATGGGGAACCCAAGGAATATGGGGACAACCTGGAGACCCTGAAGGCCACGGGGACACCATGGGGACCTTGAGGGCCATGGGGACACCATAGGGGACCTAAAGAGCATGGGGACACCAAGAGGAACCCACAGATCATGGGGATACCCTGGAGACCTCGATGGCCATAGGGACACTGTGGAAAAACCATGGGGAATCCAAGGAGCATGGGGACAACCTGGAAACCCTGAGGATCATGGGGACACAAAAAGGAACCCAAGAAGAACCCAGCCACCTTGAGCCCTCCCCCTGAGCCCCATAGGGCCCCCTTGGTGCTCCCCACAAGCCCATGGACCTACTGCTGACCCCCCCCCCCCGAGCCCCATAGGGCCCCCTTGGTGCTCCCCACAAGCCCATGGACCTCCTGCTGACTCCCCCCCCGGACCCCACTCACCCAAGAAGTAGGACACAGGGACTTGTAGACCCTGTAGTACCACTGGCAAGGAGCAGCGTCCGCCCCTTTGGCTGCCATGGCCTTCTGGCACCGATGGAAATCTGTGGATGGGAAGAGCAGGAGGACATCAGGAAGGGGGTCTAGGATGATCCCGCTGCTCCGGAGCCCCTTCCATGGGATCCTCGTGGCCCTACCGACGTAGTTCTGCCAACAGTTCTTGGTCTGGTTCTGGTTGGGGAAGCGGCTGTCGAACGGAGCCGTCTTGTAGCGCTTCAGCTTGGCCTGGATGTCCTCAGCCATGGCCTGGGGGAGCAATTAACAGCTGCTAATTAACCCCTGCTTCCTTAACAGGCCCCCCTTGGGGTCATTAATTGCCCTAATGGGGTCATTAACGCTCTATTGGGGGGGTTAAAGCAAGAGGTGAGAAGGATGGAAGCAGGGGTAATAAGAGGTGATTAATGGGGTTAATTAATCCACAATGGGGTAATTAAGACCCCCGGCCTTAATTAAGAACCCTGGTATTAATGAACACCCCTTGTCCTTAATAAATACCCCCATGGGCTAATGAATGGTCATTAGGAGGAATTAACACCACCACCCCCCCCCCCCCCCCCCCCCCCCCCCCCGGTAGCATTAATGCCCCACTTTGTAACGAGGAAGGAAATGGCAATAGGAGGAAAGGCTTAATAAAGGGTAATTAATGGGTTAATTAACCCATAATAGACTAATTAATACCTTCTAGGGTCAATTAATACCCTCCCTGGGCTAATTAATAACCCCCTTGGGTAATTAATGGCCATTAGGAGTAATTGCCCCCCCCTTAATGACAAACAGAAGGCTAATATAGGGTAATTAATAGGTCAATTAAACCTATTTGCACTAATTAATACTCTTGGGGTTAATTACAACCCCGCAGTGCTCCCAGTAACCCCTTGGGGCCCTCCCAGTAACGGCCCCATTGCTCCCAGTTCATCCCAGCGGCCCCCCCCACTGTGTCCAATGGCGCTCCCATTGATCCCAATTGATCCCATTGATCCCAATGGCGCTCCCATTGATCCCAATTGATCTCATTGATCCCAGTTCATCCCAGCGCCTCCCCCCCCCCACTATGCCCAATGGCGCTCCCATTGATTCCAATTGATCCCATTGATCCCAGTTCATCCCAGTGCCTCCCCCCCCCCACTGTGCCCAATGGCGCTCCCATTGATCCCAATGGCGCTCCCATTGATCCCAATTGATCCCATTGATCCCAGCGCCTCCCCCCCCCCACTGTGCCCAATGGCGCTCCCATTGATCCCAATTGATCCCAGCGCCCCCCCCATTGCTCCCAATGGCGCTCCCATTGATCCCAATTGATCCCATTGATCCCAATGGCGCTCCCATTGATCCCAACTGATCCCATTGATCCCATTGATCCCAGTTCATCCCAGCGCCCCCCCCCACTGTGCCCAATGGCGCTCCCATTGATCCCAATTGATCCCAGCGCCCCCTCCATTGCTCCCAATGGCGCTCCCATTGATCCCAATTGATCCCAATTGATCCCATTGATCCCAGTTCATCCCAGTCCCTCACCCGTCTCCGCTCAAAGTCACTTTCAGGCCGGAACCACCGAGACGCAGCGGAAGCGCAGAGCGCCGCCGGAAGTGACGCGCCGCACTCGGCCCCATAGACTTAACCGGGGGGGGGGAACCATAGAGACGGCAGCGGGCGGCGGAGGGAGCGGCCCCGTGGAGGAAGAGGGAGGGCTGAGCGACGCCATGGGTGGGAGGAGCCAGGAAGTGGATGGGCGGGACCCAAAATAGCACAGAATGGACCCAAAATAGCACGGAATGGACCCAAAATAGCACGGAATGGACCCAAAATAGCACGGAATGGCCCCCGAAACACCCCAGCGTGGCTTTAAACAAGCCTTTCGTGCCCCAAAGCGCCCCTTCAGCCCCCAGAATGGTCCCAGGAGCCCTCAGGACACCCGAAATGTCCGGTTATGTCCTAAATCCCCCCGAGAAACCCCCCAAATTCCCATTTCTGTCCCCAAATACCATCAGAACCCCCCAAACCTCCAGATCGCCCTTAGAAATCCTAAAATCCCCGTTTTTATACCCAAATCCCCCTCCGGACCCCATTTTTAGCCCCATATTCTCTCAAATCCCCAATTTCTATCCCCCAAACCCTTACTTCTACCCAGAATTTCCCATTTCTGTCCTCAAATCCCCCCCGAAACCCCCAAATTCCCCCTTTTCCACCCCAAAACCACCCCCCGGGCGGGCACTAGGACCCAGCGGCGCGGGACGGCGCCTTGACGTCTAAAGGGGGCGGGGTTTAGAGGAGGCAGTTCCGGTTCCGGTGTTGTCGGGGCGGCACGTGGGATGAGGCCAGGTCCGGACTGGGATCAACTGGGATCTAATGGGAGCCAATGGGGGGGAATGGGAGCCAATGGGATGGGAATGGGATCTAATGGGAGCCAATGGGATGGGAATAGGGGGGAATGGGATCTAATGGGAGCCAATGGGGGGCAATGGGGTGGGAATGGGATCTAATGAGAGCCAATGGGATGGGAATGGGGTGGGAATGGGATCTAATGGGAGCCAATGGGGGGGAATGGGAGCCAATGGGATGGGAATGGGGGGGAAATGGGAATGGGAATGGGGGGGAATGGGAGCCAATGGGGTGGGAATGGGATCTAATGGGAGCCAATGGGGGGGGGAATGGGATGGGAATGGGGGGGAATGGAAGCCAATGGGATGGGAATGAGATCTAATGGGAGCCAATGGGATGGGAATGGAAATGGGGGGGAATGGGATCTAATGGGAGCCAATGGGATGGGAATGGGAATGGGGGGGAATGGGAGCCAATGGGATGGGAATGGGGTGGGAATGGGATCTAATGGGAGCCAGTGGGGGGGGAATGGGGTGGGGATGGGGGGGAATGGGGTGGGAATGGGATGGGAATGAGGGGAATGGGATGGGAATGCGGTCTAAAGGGAGGGAATGGGGTGGGGATGGGATCTAATAGGAGACAATTGGGATGGGAGTGGGATGGGCCTGGGAGGACTGGGATGTGATGGGATAGAACTGGGGGGGACTGGGATGAGCGGGGTGGGGGTGCCTGGGAGGGATGGGGGGTTTGCTTGAACCAGACTGGGAATACCGGGAGCCTGCAGCCCCGTGCTCCCAGTGCTCCCAGTTTAACACCAGTTCCACAGGGTTCAGCCCCCGGGGGGGGGGACGCGGCGGCTTCCGCGGGGGCCGAGGTAAGTGGGGACCTTCCCAGTGCTCCCAGTACGGAGCTGGGAGAGCCCCTGTTCCTCCCAGTCTATTCCAATCTCTTCCCAGTCCATCCCAATCCCATCCCAGTCCATCCCAATCCCATCCCAGTTCGTCCCAATCCCATCCCAGTCTCTCCGAGTCCATCCCAATCCCCTCCCAGTCCATCCCAATCCCATCCCAGTCTATCCCAATCCCCTCCCAGTCCATCCCAATCCCATCCCAGTCTATCCCAGTCCATCCCAATCCCATCCCAGTCCATCCTAATCCCATCCGTCTATCCCAGTTTGTCCCAATCCCATCCCAGTCTATCCGAGTCCATCCCAATCCCCTCCCAGTCCATCCCAATCCCATCCCAGTCTATACCAGTCCATCCCAATCCCCTCCCAGTCCATCCCAATCCCATCCTAGTCCGTCCCCGTCCCCTCCCAGTCCATCCCATTGGATCCCATTGCTCTCTGCAGGAGGCGGCTTCCAGCCCCGGGGTGGGGCCCGAGGGGGCGGGGCCGGCCCCAGGGGGCGTGGCCGAGGAGGTGCAAGGGGCGGGACCAGAGGCGGGAGGGGCGGAGCCTCCCGCGGCGGCTTCCGGGGGGGCAAGAAAGTGACGGTGGAGCCACATCGGCACCCGGGTAATGGGATGGGAATGGGATGTAATGGGATAGAATGGGGTGGGATGGGAATGGGATGTAACGGGATAGACTGGGATGTAATGGGATAGACTCGGATAGAATGGGCTGGGATGGGATTGGGATGTAATGGGATAGACTGGGATGGGATAGAATAGGATAGCCTGGGTTGTAATGGGATAGAATGGGATGGGATAGAACGGGATGGGATTGGGATGGACTGGGATAGACTGGGAGGGCATTGGGATAGGCTGGGATGGGGCAGGGATGGAATGGGATAGACAGAGGGGATTGGGATGGGGTTGGGATAGACAGGGATAGACTGGGAGGGCATTGGGATAGAGTGGGATGGGGTAGGGATGGAATGGGAGGGGATTAGGATGGACTGGGATAGACTGGGAGGGGATTGGGATGGACTGGGATAAGTTGGGATGGACTGGGGGTCACTTGTGGGTCCGTGTGTCCCCCCTCCAGGGGTGTTCATCTGCCGGGGCCGGGAGGACGCTCTGGTCACCCGCAACCTGGTGCCAGGAGAGTCGGTCTATGGGGAGAAGAGGATCTCCGTGGAGGTACTGGGATAGGCTGGGAGGGCACTGGGATAGACTGGGATAGGTGCTGGGGCAGCTGGGAGGGACTGGGACGGACTGGGAGAAGTGGAGGACACCACAGGACCTTCTCCAGCCCCTCACTGGTGGCACTGGGAGTCTGTGGGGATCCAAAGCACATCCCGGGGCCGTGTCCGTATCCCAGGACGGGGACACCAAGGTGGAATACCGCGCCTGGAACCCCTTCCGCTCCAAGCTGGCCGCAGCCATCCTGGGCGGCATCGACCAGATCCACATCCAGCCCGGAGCCAAGGTCCTCTACCTGGGAGCAGCCTCCGGGACAACCGTGTCCCACGTCTCCGACATCGTGGGGCCGGTGAGCGCCGTGGGGGGGCGGGACATGGACCATGGGGAAGCTGAGGGCACCACTGGTGTCCTATGGGTGATGGCACCGTGTCCAAAGGGATGCTGAGGGCACCATTGATGTCCTATGGGTGATGGCACCGTGTCCAAAGGGATGCTGAGGGCACCACTGGTGTCCTATGGGTGATGGCACCGTGTCCAAAGGGATGCTGAGGGCACCATTGATGTCCTATGGGTGATGGCACCGTGTCCATAGGGATGCTGAGGGCACCACTGATGTCCTATGGGTGATGGCACCGTGTCCAAAGGGATGCTGAGGGCACCGTTGATGTCCTATGGGTGATGGCACCGTGTCCATAGGGATGCTGAGGGCACCATTGATGTCCTATGGGTGATGGCACCGTGTCCAAAGGGATGCTGAGGATCCCACTGATGTCCTATGGGTGATGGCACCGTGTCCATAGGGATGCTGAGGATCCCACTGATGTCCTATGGGTGATGGCACCGTGTCCAAAGGGATGCTGAGGATCCCACTGATGTCCTATGGGTGATGGCACCGTGTCCATAGGGATGCTGAGGATCCCACTGATGTCCTATGGGTGATGGCACCGTGTCCAAAGGGATGCTGAGGGCACCATTGATGTCCTATGGGTGATGGCACCGTGTCCATAGGGATGCTGAGGGCACCATTGATGTCCTATGGGTGATGGCACCGTGTCCAAAGGGATGCTGAGGTCACCACTGGTGTCCTATGGGTGGTGGCACCGTGTCCATAGGGATGCTGAGGATCCCACTGATGTCCTATGGGTGATGGCACCGTGTCCAAAGGGATGCTGAGGGCACCACTGATGTCCTATGGGTGATGGCACCGTGTCCATAGGGATGCTGAGGGCACCATTGATGTCCTATGGGTGATGGCACCGTGTCCAAAGGGATGCTGAGGATCCCACTGATGTCCTATGGGTGATGGCACCGTGTCCATAGGGATGCTGAGGATCCCACTGATGTCCTATGGGTGATGGCACCGTGTCCAAAGGGATGCTGAGGATCCCACTGATGTCCTATGGGTGATGGCACCGTGTCCATAGGGATGCTGAGGATCCCACTGATGTCCTATGGGTGATGGCACCGTGTCCAAAGGGATGCTGAGGGCACCATTGATGTCCTATGGGTGATGGCACCGTGTCCATAGGGATGCTGAGGGCACCATTGATGTCCTATGGGTGATGGCACCGTGTCCAAAGGGATGCTGAGGTCACCACTGGTGTCCTATGGGTGGTGGCACCGTGTCCATAGGGATGCTGAGGATCCCACTGATGTCCTATGGGTGATGGCACCGTGTCCAAAGGGATGCTGAGGGCACCATTGATGTCCTATGGGTGATGGCACCGTGTCCATAGGGATGCTGAGGGCACCATTGATGTCCTATGGGTGATGGCACCGTGTCCAAAGGGATGCTGAGGTCACCACTGGTGTCCTATGGGTGGTGGCACCGTGTCCATAGGGATGCTGAGGATCCCACTGATGTCCTATGGGTGATGGCACTGTGTCCATAGGGATGCTGAGGGCCCCATTGATGCCAGCACCCATGGGTGTCCTCCTTGTCCCCAGGAGGGCCTGGTTTACGCTGTGGAATTCTCCCATCGCTCCGGTCGGGATCTCATCAACGTGGCCAAGAAAAGGACCAACGTTATCCCGGTCATCGAGGATGCTCGGCATCCCCATAAGTACCGCATGCTGATTGGTGCGTCGGTTCCCATGGCGACGTCCTGGGATGCTCCGGGTTTCGAGGGGATTTGGAGGCTCCCTTTGGGTTCTCTGGGGCCCGTGTCCCATTGTCCGTGCCCGTACCCGTAGGCATGGTGGACGTCATCTTCGCGGACGTGGCGCAGCCGGACCAGACGCGCATCGTGGCGCTGAACGCACAGCACTTCCTGCGCCGCGGCGGCCACTTCCTCATCTCCATCAAGGTAACACCAGTACAGACCAGTACCAAGCACTGAGAACCAGCACTGAGCAGTAACGGGGCAATAGACAGCAGTAAGGGGACACTGGGAAGACATAAGGACCAGTAATAGGGCACTGGGAACCAGTCACTATCTACTGGGAACCAGTAAGGACCATTATTGGGATACTGAGAACCAGTAATGGTGCATAGGAACCAGTAACAGGGCACTGGGAACCGTTAACAGGCTAATGGGAACCTGTAAGGAGCAGTAATGGGACACTGGGAACCAGTAAGACCTATTAATGAGACACTGGGGACCAGTGCCCTGTCACTGGGAACCAATAAGGACCAGTAATGGGGCATAGGAACCAGTAACAGGGCACTGGGAACCAGTTACTCCCCAGTACAGGGTCACTGGTCCCCAGTTATTCCCAGTATGGAGTCGCTGGTCCCCATTATGAAGTCACTGGTCCCCAGTATGGGGTCACTGCTCCCCAGTATAGGGTCACTGGTCCCCAGTATGGGGTCACTGCTCCCCAGTTATTCCCAGTATGGAGTCGCTGGTCCCCATTATGAAGTCACTGGTCCCCAGTATGGGGTCACTGCTCCCCATTTAGTCCCAGTATTGAGTCACTGCTCCCCAGTATAGGGTCACTGCTCCCCATTTAGTCCCAGTATGGAGTCACTGGTCCCCAGTATGGAGTCACTGGTCCCCATTTAGTCCCAGTATGGAGTCACTGGTCCCCAGTATGGGGTCACTGCTCCCCATTTAGTCCCAGTATGGAGTCACTGGTCCCCAGTATGAAGTCGCTGGTCCCCAGTATGGGGTCAGCCTCCCCAGCAGGGGGCGCCCTCCCCGGTGCACCTCACCCCCCCCGCAGCAGGGGGCGCCCTATTCTGAGCCGTGCTCTGGCGCCCCCTGCAGGCGAACTGCATCGACTCGACGGCGGCGCCCGAGGCCGTGTTCGCGGGGGAGGTCCGGCGCATGGCGGCCGAGAGGATGAAGCCGCAGGAGCAGCTGACGCTGGAGCCCTACGAGAGGGACCACGCCGTGGTCGTGGGCGTCTACAGGTGCCCCCTGCTGGACGGGAGGGGGTGGGAGCCACTGGGATAGACTGGGGGGGGATTGGAGGGCATTGGGATGGACTGGGAGGGTATTAGAAGGCACTGGGAGGGACTGGGATGGTCTGGAAGGGGACTGGGATAGGCTGGGAGGGGATTGGAGGGCATTGGGATGGACTGGGGGGTATTAGAGGGCATTGGGAGGGACTGGGATGGTCTGGAAGGGGACTGGGGTAGGCTGGGAGGGGATTGGAGGGCATTGGGATGGACTGGGGGGTATTAGAGGGCATTGGGAGGGACTGGGATGGTCTGGAAGGGGACTGGGGTAGGCTGGGAGGGGATTGGAGGGCATTGGGATGGACTGGGGGTTATTAGAGGGCACTGGGATGCACTGGGATTGTATTAGAGAGCATTGGGATAGACTGGGATGCTCTGGAAGGGGACTGGGGATAGACTGGGAGGGACTAGAGGGGAATTAGAGGGCATTGGGAGGGACTGGGAAGGTCTGGAAGGGAACTAGGAGGGACTGGAGGGCACTGGGATGGACTGGGAGGGGACTGGAGGGCACTGGGTGGGACTGGGATGGTCTGGAAGGGACTGGAGTGGAATTAGAGGGCACTGGGATAGACTGGGAGGGGGAACCAGGCTCACGTGACTGAGTTGTTTTCCCCCCCCTCCTCTGCCCAGGCCTCCTCCAAAGGAGAAGTGACACCGTCTCCTCTTCCCCCATCCCCGCCCCCATCCTTAGGGGGGCGGGACCAGCGCTGGCCCGCCCCCCCCCCCTTTTTGGCGCGAATTCTTGCTATTTTAGGGTTGGGGGTGGGGGGAGGGCTCGAAAATAGGGATTTGTTATAAAAATAAACTGGAAAAACCCAACTTTTGCTGCTGGGGACAGTGAATGGGGGGGGGAATGAGGCTGGGGGGGATTAGCCCTGTGGGAGGGCACTAGAGCCCTGTGGACACCTTTAGGACCATTATGGAGGGCATTAGGACCCTGTGGAGACCTTTACAGGGGTACTAGGACCCTGCGGGCACCTTTGGGACCTTATGGGGGGCAATAGGACCCTGTGGGCTCCATTGGGACCTTATGGAGGGCACTAGGACCCTGCGGTCACCATTGGGACCTTATGGAGGGCACTAGGACCCTGCGGGCTCCTTTGGGACCTTATGGAGGGCACTAGGACCCTGCGGGCTCCTTTGGGACCTTATGGAGGGCACTAGGACCCTGCGGTCACCATTGGGACCTTATGGAGGGCACTAGGACCCTGCGGGCTCCTTTGGGACCTTATGGAGGGCACTAGGACCCTGCGGGCTCCTTTGGGACCATTACGGGGGGCACTAGGACCCTGGGAACCCCCATCTCATCCCAGTTACTCCCCCCTAGAGCTTACTGGAACCCCACTAAACCCCCTCTCAGCCACTGGGAGCAATTGGGGGACCCTGGGGGTAACTGGGAAGGAACTGGGGGTAACTGGGAGCAACTGGGACTCTCCCCATTGATTCCTCCCCCCCATTCCAACCATTCAATCCATGGGGGGGGGGGGGGAAGAACTGGACTGGGCCCAGTTTAGACCCGTGTGTCCCTCCCAGTTGCTCAATGATCTTAATGAGCTCCCCCAATTAACCCTCCCCGGGGGAGCTCTTGAGGAGCTGCCACCTGATTGGTCGAGGCGAGAGGAGCCGCCACCTGATTGGTTGATGCGAGAGGAGCCGCCACCTGATTGGCTGCCGCGAGTCCTGGGTGAGGCAGAAGGAGCTGAGTCAGCCTCAGCCCAGCCCAGTTCAGCCCAGTTCAAGCCAGTTCAGGCCAGTTCAGGCCAGTTCAAGCCGGTGGCGGCGGTTGGGGCTCAACTGGGATTGGCTGGGAACCGGATGGACCCGCTCCTTGCCCTGGAGGTCCTGGGAGGGGCCTCCAAGGGGCTTCTAGGGTTGGACTGGGAGGGACTGGGAGGGATTGGGAGGTCGCGGTGATGGGCACGAGGATGCATTGTGGGTGTAGCTCCTTCTCCTCCTCTCCTACAAGGACCAAAGGGGACCCAATGTTGGCCATCACCATCTTCATCCATAAGGACCATGGTGGTCGTCTCCATTCTCATCCATAAGGACCATGGTGGTCATCTCCATCCTCATCCGTAAGGACCATGGTGGTCGTCTCCATCCTCATCCATAAGGACCATGGTGGTCATCTCCATCCTCATCCGTAAGGACCGTGGTGGTCATCTCCATCCTCATCCGTAAGGACCATGGTGGTCGTCTCCATCCTCATCCATAAGGACCATGGTGGTCATCTCCATCCTCATCCGTAAGGACCATGGTGGTCGTCTCCATCCTCATCCGTAAGGACCGTGGTGGTCGTCTCCATCCTCATCCATAAGGACCATGGTGGTCATCTCCATCCTCATCCATAAGGACCATGGTGGCTGTCTCCATCCTCATCCATAAGGACCATGCTGGACATCACCATTCTCTTCTACAAGGACCATCCGAGACATGACTTGGGACCTCCTCAACCATGGGCTGGTGTCCAGTGATCGCACATTTGGGATGAGATCCCATTGGAGATGCACCCATTGACCATCTTCACCCATTCCCATGGCCTGGAATCCATCATGGAGCCACATCAGGCATCAGATCCCATTGGAAATGTGTCCCTGGTGCTATCTTCTCCCATTTCCATGGCCTGGAACCATCATGGACCCACCTTTACGACCAGATCTCATTGGAAATGCACCAACTGACCATCTTCTTCCATCCCCACATCCTTAGATCCATCAAGGAGCCACATTTGGCAACAGATCCCATTGGAGAGTCACCCATTGACCATTTTCACACATTCCCATGGCCTGGAATCCATCATGGAGCCACATCTGGGACCAGATCCCATTGGAGCTGAGCCACATTCCCCCATTCCCATGCCCTGGAACCATCATGGACCCACATTTAGGACCTGATCCCATTGGAGATCCCCATTCCCATGCCCTGCAATCTGTCACGGACCCACATTTAGAACCCAATCCCATTGGAGATCCCCGTTCCCATGCCCTGGAATCCATCATGGACCCACATTTAGGACCTGATCCCATTGCAGATCCCCATTCCCATGCCCTGCAATCCATCACGGACCCACATTTAGGATCCGATCCCATTGGAGATCCCCATTCCCATGCCCTGCAATCTGTCACGGACCCACATTTAGGACCCGATCCCATTGGAGATCCCCATTCCCATGCCCTGGAACCATCATGGACCCACATTTAGGACCCAGTCCCGTTGGAGATCCCCATTCCCATGCCCTGAAACCATCATGGACCCACATTTAGGACCCGATCCCGTTGGAGATCCCCATTCCCATGCCCTGGAACCATCACGGACCCACATTTAGGACCCGATCCTGTTGGAGATCCCCATTCCCATGCCCTGGAATCCATCATGGACCCACATTTAGGACCTGATCCCATTGGAGATCCCCGTTCCCATGCCCTGCAATCCGTCACGGACCCACATTTAGGACCCGATCCCATTGGAGATCCCCGTTCCCATGCCCTGGAACCCATCATGGAGCCACATCTGGGACCAGATCCCATTGGAGCTGAGCCACATTCCCCCATTCCCATGCCCTGGAACCATCATGGACCCACATTTAGGACCTGATCCCATTGGAGATCCCCATTCCCATGCCCTGGAACCATCATGGACCCACATTTAGGACCTGATCCCATTGGAGATCCCCGTTCCCATGCCCTGCAATTCGTCACGGACCCACATTTAGGACCCGATCCCATTGGAGATCCCCATTCCCATGCCCTGGAACCATCACGGACCCACATTTAGGACCCGATCCCGTTGGAGATCCCCATTCCCATGCCCTGAAACCCCTCCCGGGCACTTCCTGGCTGCTGGAGGAAGGTTCCGGGATGGGGTGCGGGCGGAGGAGCTGCTTCCTGCTCCAGCCCCACATAAAAGGCCCCAGACGAGCGGTGCCAGGAGCAGACGCGGCCGCATCCGCCCGGGAGGAGCCGCTCCCGCCCCGGTAGGGACACGGGGCCCATTCCCAGCCCCTTTCCCAGCCCCCTCTGCCCCATTCCCAGCCCCATTCCCAGCCCTTTTCCCACCCCTCCTGTTCCCTTTTCCCTTCCCCCTTTTCCCTCTTCCCTTCCATTCCCACCCCTCCTTTTCCCTTTTCCCTTTTCCCATCCCCCTTTCCCAATCCCTTTTCCCTTCCCCCTTTTCCCTGTTCCCATCTCAATTCCCTTCCCCCTTTTCCCACCCCTCCTTTTCCCATCCCTCTTTGCCCTATTCCCATCCCTTTTTCCTTCCTCCTTTTCCCAACCCCCTTTCTTTCCCAACCTTCCTTTTCCCATCCCCCTTTCCAGTCCTTCCTCCTTTTCCCATCCTCCCTTTCCTTTTTTTTTCCTTCTTTTTTTCCTTCTTTTTTTTCCTTCTTTTTACCTTCTTTTTTCTTCTTTATTTCCTTCTTTTTTCCTCTTTTTTCCTTCTTTTTTCCTTTTTCCTTTTTTCCCTTCATTTTTCCCCTCACTTTCTCCTTCTTTTTCCTTCTTTCCCTTCTTTTATTTCCCTTCTCTTTTTCCTTCTTTTCCCCTTCTTTTCTTTCTTTTTCCCTCCTTTTCCCACCCCATTTTTCCCTTCCCTCCTCCAATTCCTCATCCCTCCCTCCCTGTCCCCAGAGGTCCGTGTCCCCATCCCAATCCCACCGTCTCCCCCTCAGCTCCCGGTGCTCCGGCATGAAGATCCTGCTCCTGATTCTCCTGGCACTGGAAGCCACAGGTAGGAGATGACCTGGGGCCCATAGGTCCTTATGGACCCCCATTGACCCCATGGACTTCCATCCACCCTAGAGACCCCCCCCATTGTCCCCATGGACCTCCATTGACCCCATGGACCCCCATCCTCCCTATGGATCTCCCCTATTGACCCTGTGGATCTCCCCTCGTCCCTATAGACCCCCATCCTATGGACCTCCCTCTCTTGTCCCCATTGACCCCATGGACCTCCCCCCCCATTGACCCCCATTGACTCCATGGCCCTCCCAATGTGCCCCACATCGATGTGGCCTCTTCCACCCCTCATTCACCTCCTTAGCAGGGACTTGGAGACACAGGGCTGGGGGCACCATGAGCAGTCCCAGTGGTCACAGGAGGTCCCTGTCCCCCTTTCCCCCCCCATCCCTTCCCATTGTCCCCATAGCCTCAAGGAACGTCCTATGGGTGATCGAGGGCACCTCCTGTGACCTGCCCTGGCAAGCTGCCCTCTTCAAAGGAGACCGCTTCATCTGCGGTGGGACACTGGTGGACAGGAGCTGGGTGCTGACGGCCGCCCATTGCCACGTCCCGGGGTAGGAACCCACTGCCTTTGGTGTCTGGGTTGTGGTGAAGCTCAGCTCTGCTTTGGCCTCTTCTCTGGGTCCATGGCTCTGCTCCTGGTGGGGTTCTGTGGTCACCTGGTAACACTAACCATAACCATAACCATCACCCTAACCCTATCCCTAACCTGATGCTTTGGGCTCCATCAGCTTCATCAACGTGCGGTTGGGTGGCCGGAGGCACAAGGACTCGAGTGGCCCCGAGCAGAGGAGACACTCGGCCATGGTCTTCAAGTACCCGTGGTACAACGAGACCAACAAGGACGGGGACCTGATGCTCATCAAGTTCCACCTCCCCATCCACATCAACAAGCAGGTGAAGCCCTTGC